TTTTTTTTTTTTTTTCTGTCTGTGTTTATTGCGGTTGAGTGGTCTGGCTTTTGAAAATTTTCTTTTGGTTTATTTCTCTGCATACATGTGCATTCATGTGTTCGTGTTGTAGAATGACTTCCAAAGGTGTTTAAAGCAAAAGATATTTAAGGAATAGGTATGATCCTGGGAAGCGGGAATCCATTTACCAGGAGAATCTCTTATCATTTACTACAAAATCAAAAAAATCAACATGACTAAGCCACTCTGTTTTATAGAACTAGGGTTGAGCCCAGTACTTCAAATTGATCTGTCTATATGTGAGTAGTGTGCTTGTTATATTCCTGGAAAATGGATGGGAGGATAGTTATGAGTCTTTTTGTGTGTAGGTGTGTGTGTTTGAGAGAGGGGGAGTATGTGCTGAAAAATTGTTGTATGATAAATGTATGTCAGGAGAAGAAAAAAATAGGGAGAACATAATTGAATAGGAAACTAGGGAAAAGCAATATGAAGAAAGAATTGGTCTTGGGCAGGCACTTCTGAAAAGATTTCTTAGTTCTCTTGTTGCTTTGGTGGAAATGGACTCATAGAAACATTTTTCTTAGGATATGATGCCTAGCTGTGAGAACAATTGAGGCTGCACTTAAGGTTTTTTTTTTCCAACTAAGAACCTATTGCCAAAGAAGAATAAAAGTACATTAAAGGAATTGTTTTATATTTTGGTCACAGTCAAAGATATTATGAAATGATCAAATGTACAACAAAAAATCTTACATAGCAACATAAAGATATGATAATTAGGCACTATTAAATCTCACAACTGATTTAACTAAATAAATGGCTGGACTGCATCTTCCAAGCATATGCATGTTATAAACACGTGAATTACTGCATTGGCTGGCTCATGCTTGCAAAAAACATGTATGGGGCCTTTTACTCTTCTTCTTTTTAATACTTTATCAGTGCTATATTTGTTTTAACCTTTAGAACACTGCATTATGAGCAGGTTGAGCTTGCTCGAAAGTATGAAGATCTTGAGCTTTTCGAGAATGATGCCCATCCCCAGTTTTCCTTAATCAAGGTGAGGAATGGAGAGCCCTCTTTGTTTTCTTCACCTATGTCATTTTGTGATGCTTACTAAATGGACTTCTGTCTTCTGCATTTCAGAAGGAAGTTGTTAAGTCAAGAAACAAAGATCTTGTCCAGCTTTTTGAATTCGGGGTTGGTGTGCATCATGCTGGCATGTTACGTGCTGATAGAGGGCTTACTGAGAGGCTTTTTTCTGATGGAATCTTGAAGGTAAAGCTGATTCAACTTTCTGTTCAAGGTTGGTTCTTATGAATTTCGTCTCACCCAGTTTTTGTTGAATTCTGTTATTTTCCTATTTAGGTACTTGTTTGCACAGCTACTTTGGCCTGGGGTGTTAATCTGCCTGCTCATACAGTTGTCATCAAGGTTTGTGAATAGCTGCATAAACACATCATTCATTTTTCTCTGCATGCCAAAACTTTAGTTGTTGCATATTATCATTTCAAGTTACATATATTAATGTTTCTGATATCCCCAGTGAAGACAAAGTGGAGTATGATTTTACTAGGGATACGACATTTTGTTCATTGAAGGTTGTGTCCCCCTTCTTTTGAAGT